GGAAAGAGATTTTCAAAATAGTTCACTATCAGTTTTTGTTATGAAATGTTGCCTTTGACTTCAAGGGGAGAAAGTTAAACCAACACTGCACTTTTGAAAAGGTAGTGAATTCCAAAGCTCTTTCAAATATTGAAATATCACATATTTATTCAAATATTGTAAACTTATTCAAATGTTATATTTCAATTGAATAATTAAACATGACATATTTGTAATTATCTAAATGGCAAAAAAAAAAAAAAATTCAGAAGAAAAGAGTCTACCCTTAATATTTTTGTCTAACAAGGCTTCTTTCTACTCAGATTGGTAGCCAAGTAATATGCAAACTGTTATAAAAAGAATGGAATCAAAATGTTACAGCTCAAACGTAATTCTTTTTTTCATTATCATTCACCATTCCAATTGCTCATGGCAGGAAGGTCATAAATGTGTATGTTATGGCTAAAAAATATATGTAAGTGCTTTGTTGTCTTAAGGGATTTAATTAACTGGTCTCCAGGTAGTTAAAAAATGAAAAAAACCACCTTTTAATGCACAGTCTCCTTAGAACCTGCAGGCTTTTGAAGACAAAGTTTCTAAAAAATCTATGTTCTAACTATCAGGCTTTGAGTGAAGAATATTTTTGAGGTAGGAATTGAATTGAAGCCAAAGGAGAACAGCACTCATCGCTCTTAGAGAGAATCACTTTTCCATGGGTATGCTTAAATATGTGGCTGCACCCAAAAGAACAGTGAGAAAAACTATTTTTAATTTGTAAATCTTAGTATAGTGGTGTTTGCTGCTTATTAATAGGAACAGAAATTGTTACATTCTGTCTCAAAAAGTCTACTGTGACTTGCCCAAATAACATAATATTTTGACTTCAGGACAGTAAAAGCACAGTTGAATACTTATCTAGTCAAAATCCATTAACAGCATGTTAATCTGATAGAGCAATACTAGACATTAGAGATACCGCATTAGAGAACATATTTTCCTTTAAGCAATTTGAGGCAACTACTTTTCCTCTTTACTATAGGAGATACTGGA